GGCGGGGAGCGGGTCGGAGCCGCAGGCGGAGGAGGCGCCGCAGCCGCCGCCGCCGCGGGGTCCTCCTTTGTTCCTGCAGCTGCACCGAGCGTGGCCGGGACACGGCGGAGCTCGGGAAGTGGGAGGAGGGAAGCGAAGGGGGGGCCGAGGAGGAGGCGGAGGGAGGACAGAGGCCGCGGCCGCTAACGCTGCTCGCGGCGCTTGGCCGTCGTCGCCTCACGCCTCCACCGTCGGCAAGCTGGGCCGACTCCGAGGGCGAACGGGGCGCACGCAGCGAGGCCTGGGCGGCGCGAGGGCCCGCGGATGGCGCTCTCCGTCGCTTCAACCACCGCCGGGGGAAGCGGCGCCGCTCCCGGAAGCGAGCGAACCCCCAGACGACACGCCGAGAAGTCCGCACTCCGGCCGACTGACGCGCTATCGCTCGCTCAGCCCGGCGATCGGGCTGTGAGGAAAGAGGGAGGGAGGGGGCGGGGCCTGTGCGTCAGCGAAAACCCCGACGGCGGCGGCGGGCGCGCGGTGACGTTGCGTGCCCTACGTCCGCTCCGGGGTCCAGTCACCGGGTCCGGGAGGCGGGGCGCGTGTGACTGGGAAGCCGTCGCGCGGAGCCGAATCACTGGCCGCGCTGCTGGTCCCAGGGTGGAGCTGCAAAGAGCCAGTCCTGGGGAGGATGCGTTTCTATTTTTAACCCGATTGTCCTCCCTCAGCCTCCTCCTTCCGATTTTCTCGCTCCAGCTCGCTTTTTGCCGTCTGAGTTCTCACGCTTTGTCTCCAGCTCCTGGCGGACATTTCCCTCGCCCCCTGTGTTCCCCCATCCCCCAAGGATTAGAGGGATTCGTCTTGAGAAAAAAGAACTGCTTTATAGCTTCTAGTCTGCCACTTGTTCTCGAAGCTCCTGCCCGCCCCGTCCCTTTCCACCCCCTTTCGGTTCTAAAGTCCAGCGTGAACACTGACCAGACGCCACCGGCTAGAAGTGTAGCAGCCGTGCTCTCGCTCGCGCAAGGTCACGGATGGTTGTGCAGAGTCAGGAAACGTTCGGCGACTGGCTGCCAGTCCTCGGCCCGGTGTCGCTGTTCTGAACAAACTGTCTTGGCCAGCCTGTAAAATCCCTGGAAATTGACAATTCCAGCAAAGTGTCTTGAAATGGGAAAGCACCAAATGTTCTGCTCAAGAAATGGAGTTAAGGAACAAACAAGCTTAACCTGAGGCAGAGATCAGAAAGGAGGAAGTTCAAGATGGGGGAGCTATTAGGCAATTCAGAAATAAGCCACAGGCCCGACTAGTTTGAAAGGGTGAGTTAGCGCAAAACACTTGAGAGCCTTTTCAAAACACCACCGCTAATAACAACCATCAAAACAATTCCAGATGACCTTTTGGAGTGACTAGTTAAACGCACAACAACATTACTAATTGCACTTCGGAAATGCTCTTGTAAACAACGAGCTGGTCAATAGAGATGATATTTAGGATTTATATTATCCACCTTTGGAAAAGATTGTGAGGTCTCAGTTTCTCATACTCGCTAAGAAAAATCACAGGTGGGTGATTATTTAAGGATCCCTAGGATCTAGGAGGTTTGATTGGTCCGGAGTAGAGCACAGGAGTTTATTTTTCAGCACTGCTCCAGGTCATGCTTTATAATTCTGTGTACATGGAAGAAGTCTCTCTTGGTTCCCTGTGCCCAAATTTCCAAATCAAACACTTCTCCACTATAGTAGACAATACCCAGAACATACCTGAGTATTTTCTTCAGGGTTCAGGGTTACTACTTCGGTGAATATATTAAAAATGAAAGTAGTGTCAGCCACAAGTCTTAGGACTCTTGGAATTTTTTTCCTTTGAATTAGATTAGTAAAAACATAGTTACTAGTGGAACTTGCAGTAGAACATTTCAGCATAGAATGTCTCACAAGGACAACCACCAGAGGTGGGAGTAGGGATGATTAATGAATCTTTGACTAAACCTGGCTTTGGAAGTTTCCTGGAACTTAAGGTGGGATGGGAAACCATTATCACCCAGAGGTGGAGAGAGAATTATGAGTCTATCCGTTTTAGACCAACCCAATCTGACCACAAGTCGATTATTTCCACAGTAAGAACATCCCACTGCCCAGACAAAGCAAAGTTCTTGTGTTTTAATATTGTCCCCCTGTGTCTATGCAGGTGTTGCTCTTCTTCCCTTGACCATCTTGCTGGTATCCTGATGAATGGGAAGCCTGCTGAATTCTTTCTCAGAGGGACCCGAGGAGGACCCCACACAGGGAACCCCATCATCTGAACCCCAACAGCCACCATTTACACACCATTTAAGGTCTCATCTTCACATCATTTTTCTGAGGTAAGTACTATTATACCCAGTTTTACAGGTGAGGGAATAATTACTAAAGAGGGTAAGTGACCTGCCTCAGCCACTGAAGAACAGGAAAACAAAGGAGGTGATTCTTACTGAGAAGAAAAATAATTTAGAGGTATCCCCCTTGCCCTCCCCCCTTTTTAGCTATTAACAGGGGAAACAAGGTAATTCCAGAAAATGCCTAATTAAAAAAAAAAAAGAGGAATAAGGCAAGGTGTTTATTTAATAATGTATAGTATAGTATATGTTATATAGCCAGCCATTTTTAATTGTCTCTATGAGACTATTTCAAGAATGTAGCTGGTTTTGAACCAAGTCTTGCAAGACTCTGTTCCGGCAACTACCCTAGTCACTCTCACAGTGTGGCTCCCAGACCATCAGTGTCAGCATCACCTGGACACTTGTTAGAAGTATAAATTCTGAGCCTATCACACGAGAGGACACACTATGGAATCACAAACTCTGGGGATTGATTCTGTGTTTTAACAAGTCCTCCATCCTATTCTATAATGTTCAGGTTTGAGAACCATTGATTTACCCTCCTGGGGCTTTTTCAGATGCTCACACTATGTAAAGGGGAAAATTAAAAACAGATTACGACTGGCATAACAGCTTAGGAGATATTTATCTAATGAGTTTTGTGAAGTTTTGTTTTGTTGTGGTGTTCTAAACTATCAGTTGAACTTTAACGAGGATTTATAACACAAAATATAGAATAAAATGCATTTAATATAATATATAGAAGGAATATTACTTTATGTTCCCCAGAGAAGTTTGAAACCAGCCTCTATAAAATAGAAAATGCCTAATGTGGGGCATGTTTAAAAAATGGTATGGTCATTTAATTGTTCAAAAATACTTTTTGTATGGAAATGCCTAGTGATTGCATTTCTTTCTTGAAAATAATACTAATTTATAATTATTTTTTATTCATTTTGTCCCTAAGAATGTTTTGTACCCTCACTGCATTGTAGTGCTCCCACTGAGCATTGAGTGAGTGCTGGAATATACATTGATGGGGAAAAAAGATCTTGTTCTCATGTCTCTTACTGTCTTACTGGAGAGAAAAGACATTAATAATATATTATATAATTGTAAACCAATGAATGTTTTGAGAGAAAGATACAGAATGTTGTGGGGGCATATAACCATAGCAGTAGAAACTAACATGCTCTAAGGTCTGAGTTTAATAGTCAGTCATGCCTACTGACAGTGGACCAGGCTTATGAAAGTAGGTGAATGCAGTAAACTGGCATGTCATTGGAGAAACTTGGATCTGTTTGTATTCTGTTAAGAATTCATTGCAGATTCACTTTCATCTTTCTTTATAGTCAAGGGATAGGCCAGAAAGGGGATTGATAATTGGAAAAAAGGCAAATGCAATGACATTTCTTAGAAAGTTAAAACAAATATCCTTTTAAAATAGCAATAAAAATTGTCAGTCCACTGCAAAATATAAAAGACCTGGAGTTATTTTAGTTTGACATATTCTTCCTATTTTGGGGGCAAGAATTACTTTTGTGGTTTTATTATAATTTATTTTTTGTAGTCAGCTTCATTTTCTTTCTGTGCTTAAGTAGAGCTTGGTGAAATAGTGTTTTTAACAACTGGGAGTTTTAACAACTGTTGGGTGTCATTCCTCCCTTACTTTCTTCCTCCACCCCTTTCCAAATCTCAAAGATCAGATTAAAGACTTACTTATATTTTTGGTATTTATAAAATTATTGACTATAGAATATTATAAAAATATTCTCTTTAAAGTAAGTCAGCTAATTTAAAAATCAAGGGTATACCTTCCTATTATTTAATGAACAATTTTTCTCTTAACTAGTTAATACTTAAATATTAATTTAAATGTAAGTGAATCAAGAAGTGGGTGGGTTTAATCTCATCTAAATAACTGGGTAACTGAATTTTTTTCCAAAGTGTTGCTAAAACAAATGGCAAATTTGATTATTAGGCAGATCTTTTGATAAAATTTAAAGCTTTACTTATTTTCACTGAAAACAGTTTGTTCAAATACTCTTTAAATAAAATGGTATGGGTATCTTACCAGGTTAGACAAGACTTTCAGACTCAATGGAGGTACTGTCAACATAGCCATAATACTTTTTGAGACTATTTAAGTGAACAAAAATCATTGTTATTTATATAAAATAAGAATTCAAGGTGAATGAAATTATTGAGCATACATAGATATTTAAATTTTCTGTGTGGATATTACTTTTTTTTTTTTAAGATTTATTTATTTGTGCATACGGAACTGGGGTACAGGCCAGAGGCTCAGGGGTGGTGAGAGGATTCACCAGAGACAGAGTGGGGAGCAGAACAGGCAGATGGATGAAGCACACTGCTGAGGGGAGCAGCGGGCAGGTCAGGAGAGGTCTGCCGCGCCATGTGGTCACCTCCGGGGAAGGCGGGGATCGAACTCATGAGGAAGTGGCTTTAGCTTCTTAGTGCTGCGCTTTAACCCGCTGCGCCATCAGGGAGGGCCAGATATTACCTTTTAAGACCTAAGTTACTTTGGTAATTCAACAACTTTAG